AACCCCAGAATTCCCTCCCCAGTTAGCCTGAGACCGCTGCTGAGAGCTGGGTCCATCTTCTTAGCACTGAAAAACCCTCAGAAGATGCACCCCAAACCAGGGACGGCTATTTGGGAGGGACATGGGTACAGGCTCCATTCACACTCTGCCCTGGGCCCTCAAACATCAGGAACTGGAGCTGGGAGGGGGGGCACTGGTCCCTGGAGGAAACCCCCCAGTCTCACCTGGAGAGAGGCCGAGGGAGTTCGACAGCAGAGAGGCGTGAGCGGGGAGGAAGCCGGCAGCCCTGCCCAGGCGGGCCTGGTGCTACATGGCTGGCACAGGGGACAGGGCTGATGCTTCTCTGTCCACCTAGCTGGCCCGGCTCCCTGAAGCTCCAGGGAGGGGACAGGTGCCAGGAGGCCATGAATTCTCAGCACCTGTGAGAGCTCCCACCTGGCCTGCTGTCCCCACCTCCACCCCGAGTCTCTGCACCGGGGAGAGTGTGTCACGGCCTCTGTGGGGGTCGCGGAGATGGGGCAATGAGACTCACCCCTCTCAGAAGCTCGGGTGACCCTGACACAAGGCATTCCTCCTCCCAGTCCTTCTCCCCAGGAGGGCTCCCCTGAAGCCAGAGAGACTAGGCAGGGGTGTGCGGCAGGGGTGGCCAGACGGGGGCACTGTGGAGCGCACCCCACCCTGCTCCCTCTCTCCCTCCCCGTAGCGGGCACTGAGGTGGTTGGCATGGGAACCTCCTTGGGGCCTTGATTTGCTGGTGGGAGAACCACAGGTGTCGGGGATGGGGTTCCTGCAAGCAGCACTCAACAGTGACTGTTCCAGGGTACATTCTCCTTCCTGGGGGAACCCAGGCTTAGGGGTGGGGGTTACCAGCAGGCACTGGCAGATCCTCAGGCTAGTTGCCATCCCTCTCTGGACATCAGTTTCTTTATCTGTGAAATGGGGATGAGCAATGGGGAAGACAACTGGGGAGGGCAGTGGGTGAGCTAACTTAGATCCTTGACCCAAGCACCCAGAAGTCTGGGCTCAGAGGGGACGTAGGTGAGCAGGAAAATGACAACAGACCAGGTCCTGGTTGGGGTGTTGGGGGACTAGGGTGGTCCCTAGTGTGGCTGACTTGGAGTGTCCCCCTGTCCAGCCTTCCTCTGAGGGCCTGTTTCCCTTCATATCTCGGTCGCTGTTGTGGGGCCAGCAGGGAGGAGGGTAAGTTGACCAGAGCATCGGGGTCTCCCACACCCCTACGGCTTCCTTCAGCGGGGACCAGGAGGGCAAGCCAGACGGGTTTCTGCAGCCCCTTCTGGAGAGGAGACTGCATTCCTGAATCACCATCCAGCCCTCGGTAAATAAGGCCACTGCATGAGGTCATAAGTTACTGAGGGCCAGACCCACCCGTCCTCCTGGGAGTTTGGGTGGGGACACAGAACCTGGATGTCTGGGGGGAGATTTGTTAACCTGGGCAGTGGGGCTCAGCCCCGCCTTTCACAGCAGTTCCAGCCCTCAGACTCAGTTCCCAGACTTAAGTCACAGGGCCAGAGTAATAGCACAGCAGGTCAGGCACTAGCCTTGCTCATAGCCGGCTCGGATTCAGTCCCTAGCATCACCAGGAGCAACTCCTGAGTGCAGAGCCAGGAATGAGCCCTGAGCACCTCTGGGTACAGCCAGGGCACTGAAACAAACAAAAACCAAACTTCCATCCTGGGCCCCTGGTGTGTGCGGCCATGAGTCCCTGTGGGGGCAGGGGGGACGGTGTCTTGGTCCCTGGAGTCATCTGGCAGCCATGAGCCTGGCTTAGCTCAACTTCCTGGCCCTTCTGGGTCCAGGGCTGGGTCCAGGGTTTCCTTCGGTTTCCTAGCAGATATGCACACAGCCCCTCCCAGGCCTGCCCCTCGTCTTCTCAAGGTCTCCATTAAGCAGCAGTTCAATGTGCTCTTCCTTTGGACTGTGCAGTTGGGCCCTATTACCAAGCACAGAGAATTCAGGTTCTTCCCAGCCCCTGCCCGTGGGGGAGAGGGGCTCCTTCCCTCCTCTTCCAGCCTGTCCCCTAGCGACCCTGTGAGACCCTGTGACACCTCACCCGTGCCCAAGGCCCAGCTATCACAGGGAAACGGAAGGAAGCCAGGGTCCCTGGTGTCCAAGAGCTCGGGTTCTGGGCCCCACCCCACCAACTCCCCACCCGTGAGGAAGGAAGGGGGAGAGTGTCGCCTGAGGAGCGCCAGAGGCAGTCCCTGTGGCACTCAGGACCTTGGCAGAAGCGCCCCCAGCCCCCACTCCTGGGGACTCTATTAGAGGTTTCAGATTAAATGCTGCTAAGGACAATCCAATTTCCTCTGACTCCCTGACTCAGGCTAGAAATGCTGTGTCCAGGCACACACACACACACACACACACAGAGAGAGAGAGAGAGAGAGAGAGAGAGAGAGAGAGAGAGGCTGCAATGGGTGTTAAGTATTCAATCAGGCCCAGAGATAATAGACTAGGGCCAGTTCACCCCAGTTTAATCAGATAAAATGCCCCGCTCCTCCCCTCCCCTCCCCTCCGGTGCAGCCCCTCCCGGGTCTCCAGGACCCTCGGGGGCTGCTGAAGGGCTGGAGAGCAGAGCGGCCACTGCAGGTCCGGAGGAGAAGGGGGAGCTGGTGGTCTGTGCCTTTAAGTCTTTGAGGGGGGGGCCTGTGCAGCCCCCTGGGGACTAATTATCCTCCTGCTTTTTGCCAGTTCTAACTCAAACACAAAAGGGGGCTCAGCCACCCTAAAGGCTCCGCTGGGGCCCAGGATTTCTTTCACTCAGATATGCAAATGTGCCCGGTGGGTGGGTCCTGAGGGGAGCTGAGTCAGGGCTGGACCCCCGTTGGGGGCCTGGAGGCAGGACGCGGGGCTGAAAGCCCCTCCTTCCTGCCTCTCTCATTTGTGGGGGAGCAGAGTTCATTCAGAAAGCTAACTCCTGACCTGTGACCCCCACCCTAAGGTCCAAAACACAAACCTGGGCGTGCACCCTTGGCGGTGCAGTGCCCCTCAGCCTATGGTCCTTGGGGTCCCTGAGGTCTGGGGCCCACCAGTCGTTGTTCATATCCGCTCACTGTAGAGACAATGATTGTACACAGTAGTCACGCAGTGTCTGCGCACAGTAGGCGTTCCTGCCTACTCACAGTAGGTGTTCATGCTCACACAGGTCCATACCTGCCCACAACAGGTGCCCATGCCTGCACATGCATAGTAGGTGCTCGATCGCCACACACAGTAGGTGTTCAGCACACAGTAGGTGCTGCCCAGTGAGATCCACAGCCCTTGCCCACCCCCAGGACATTGTTGGAAACTGAAGGAGGATGGCCATGTTCCCCTCAGCTCCAGCTGCACTGACATAAACCTCAGTCTTTCTAGCGGGGAAATGGGAGCCAGGGGAACCCTGAACCAAACTCTGAAAATCAGGGAGCTGGAGAGGGTTGTGTGACAGCATCTGGGAAACACCTGTGGGGCCCTATTGCCACAGCAGGAGACAGCAGCTCTGCCAGGCTGGGGAGACAGATTCTTTCCATCTCTCGGTGACTTGGAGACCTTTATATCCCAAACCCACCCATCCCCGCCGGGACCCCACCCTTCCACTGTGCCCTGCTCATCCCTGCAGGGAGGCTGGCCTGTGACTGTCCCCTGGCCCAGGCCTCAGGGGTTAGTCAAGCAGCAGGACTTGGAGCAAACGGTGCCGGAAACTGGCCAGTACTTGGGTTCTGACACAGTCCAGGCTTAGGTGGGCAGGGGCACCCTGAGAGACCCGAATGGCCCAGGAGCCCCTACGTGGGGAAGAACCTTGGGTGTAAGTGGCCAAGCCAGTGGGGTAAGCAAGTTCTGGAAAGGACAAGTCTGGTCTGAGTTCTGGGGCGCTTTGTGGGCGTCACAAATCAGAAGCACTTTGGGAGGCTGTGGGTCTTGGCAGGGGTGGGGGGGCACCAGGAGCAGGTCAAAGCCAGTGAGGACATAACAGTCCCCAAAAAGACCCAGATAGGGGCCAGATGGACAGGTAGACACCCCACACACACCGTCTTGTCCCCAGGCACCGGGAGGTGTTGGCCAGCTGTACCCGCCTCCAGGGAAGCCCCTGGAGCCAGTTTCTGCCTCACAGGCTGGCATTTGGGTGAGGACCCCTTGCAGCTGCTGCCCACCCCACCTGGTCCCCGCTTACCAAGCAAAGCCTGATCTGAGCTGGGGAAGAAAGCAAGGGGTCACCACCCCCCCATAGGACCCCCCCCCAAATCCGCCCACCCAGTCCTGCTCTGGGCAATGAAGCTGGACCTTCTCTGCAGCATGAAGTGTCGGGGGAAGGGTTGGGGGGGCTGAGAGCCCTGAACTCAGAACCTCAGTCTTTCTAGCGGGGAAATGGGAGCCAGGGGAACCAACAGCTGGCCTGGGGGTACAGGCATCTCAGAGTGGGGGTCTCCTCTCCTACAGCCAGATGCCCCCTCATGAGAAAGAGGGTAGGGAGGGACCCCGAGGGTCCTGGAGGGCATAGGGGAGGCTCCAAGATTCGGGGCGCTACTCTGGGAAGAACAAGTTGGCTCTGCGGGTGGGCATGGCCGTCTTTCTTTCCTGAGGCTGAGGCCCCTGAGGAATGGCAACAGCTGGTGGTGATCTGTGTACACATGGGCCAGGAAAGGCTGCCCTGATGATGGTTCGGTGGTCAGTGCCCGGTTGTGTCTCAGCCATGCTCAGTACCAGTGGTCAGCACCCAGTCATGTCATAGCCGTGCTCAGTACCAGTGGTCAGCAGCTGTCGTGTCTCAGCTGTGCTAGTACCAGTGGTCAGCGCTCATTGTGTCTCAGCCATGCTCAGTACCAGTGGTCAGTGCCCAGTCACGTCTCAACTGTGTTTGGATGGACCACACAGTGTTGGCTGACTCCGTCGTAGATGCTGTGATGATGTGACCTGTGCCTGGAGTTTCGGGTCACATGTCCCACTGCAGTCGCTGCTGTTCAGGGAGGGGTGGAGGAAGGAGGAAAGGGCCTGTGACATACAAGGTCGTGGCCGGACAGGACCTGGCCACCTCCCCCCCTGTCACAGAGACCCCGGGCGGCACGCGTCAGACACAAGCTCCGGTTCCACAGCCCTGCATCTGCCTGGCCCAGACGTCACAGTGGTGACCTAACCCTGAGTCCGGCCCTCCTCCCAGGCCTGTCCTGCGGGGGTGGGGGACCTCCAGGTCCCCTGGGCCTGGAGGTGTGAGGGGTAATGAGACCCCGTAATTAAGGCTTCTGGAGCCGTGGCCAGAGATGTATGGACAGGCTTTGTCAGCGATGGCGGCTCCCCAGCCATCAATAAGTGCTCATTATCACTGCTCCCTCGCCCGCCCCGGCCCCAGCCCCGCCAGGCCCACCAGCCGCCGCTCACGGAGGCCCCTGTACACAGGCTGTGCTCAATTAATCTGCACTTGTTGGCACCATCTGTTCTTTTCATGCATCCTGACCAGGAGTGTGTGGGTCCCGCCGCCTCCTCAGCCCTGCTCCAGAGCAGGGACCTGCCTCCCCCCTCAGACTGGGGCCTGGGGATGGCGAGCAGGACCCCAGCCCTGGGTCTAGGAGTCCTGACGGCCTGACCGATTCTTCCTCTCCCTCCCACCCTGTGAGCCACACTGGGCCTGAGACCTGTGCAGACCCTATGAGCCAGTGCCTGGGTCCTCGGCTCTAAACCATGTGGGTCAAGGGTCAAGGGCCAAGGGCAGTACAAGGGTATAAATTTAGACAGCTCTGGGCAGCAGGGGATTCAGGGCAGAGCCTGGTGGTTTCCTAGTGCCCTGGCGGGGAGCAGGGAAAGGACACCCCCTTAGGTGCCAGCCTGTGGCCCCCTTCATGCCCCTGACAGCCACCTCCTCTCTCCATAGCCCCAGCTCCTTCCAGCTCCATCAGCTGCACTGCAGGCTAGACACAGCCCCTGACAGTCGGCTCTCGTGTGCGTGGAGGGTGCCAGGGGCCTGCAGGAGCTCTTGCCCTGCACAGCACCTCGGCACTCTCTGGGACTAGCTGGCCTCTTTCTGGGAGGGGTCTTTGGATAATCCCTGTGTGCATGGGTCACTGGTCCAGGGCAGTGCAAGGGCAGTACATAGCCACTGGCCCATCCAGCCTCCCCAGGCTGACCCCAGAGCTGAGTACGGCGCCCGAGAGTGTGTGGGCATTAAGCATTTGCCTTGCATGCAGTGGGCCCTGGTGCAGTCCCCGGCCCTGGCACCCCTGTGCCCCACCAGGATGATCCCTGAGTGCAGAGCTGCACCTGGGTCCTGTTCATCCATCGGACACAGCTTCCTCATTCCTCCTCCTGCTTCAGCCACTGCACACGCCCCTTCCTCACTTCCTCAGCATCCTACCGACTCCTACGGACTCCCTTACGTCCCCGCCTGCAGTCCAGAGGGGGACGGGGGGGGGGGGGGGCTGCCTGAGGGCTTCCACCCCCGGTCGGGTCCTGTTCACCCCCTATCCTGTAGCCCTCTCCTCTAGAGTCACGTTTATTAGGGTCACAGCTCGGTCACATTTGTGTCCCCCACACCAGCACAGGACCTGGCCACAACAGAGCTGCCAGGCATCAGTGCTGGGTAGGACGGAGCCTGGGGTGGACCCTTGACCTGGCGCAGGGGATGGCGGCCCTCTATGGAAGTGTCGCCAGCTGCCCAGAAATAGAATCACGAGCTCTGAGGCGCATCAGGGCACATGCAGCCTTGGGGAGACCCTGAGACCCAGCTGGGCCCCTCTGAGCAGTGCCCAGCTGAGCCTGCCAGGTGCGGGCTGGGAGCAGGCTGCAGTGGAGGGGGCGGAATGACTCATGGTGCCCATGTGTCCCCGGCCCACGGCTGGCATTCTCGCCAAGAGAAGGTTTCAGAAACGGGGACCCAGCTCCCCTGGCACGTGTTGAGGCTCTGGCTGCCGGCGACTTGGGCCCCAACATGGTCCATGTGCGGAGATGCAGAACTCCGAGTTCCTCGCCCCCACCAGCTGGGCTAGAACAGGGCCCCCCCCTACCCCCACCAAGCAGCTTCTGGAAGAATGCAGCATGGGGGTCCAGAGTGTACGAGAGTGGGGTCCCCGAGCGCTTCAGTCTTCTCTGTCGAATGAAACCCCTCAGGAGCCAGGAACACTTTCCACTAGAGGGCCACCGCCCCCCCAGTCTAGGTTGGGGCCTGGGCCGACCTGGACAATGATAAGCTGAGGAAAAGTGGCCGCCGGTCCTTCTAGCCAAGGGCTGCTGAGCGGCAGAGGCTGTGGTGAGTCTGCAGAGAAGGTGGGTCAGCAGGGAGGGCTGAGACCAGCTCCCCAAAGCCTCGAGGCTGCAGGACATGCATGAGGAGCGGGGAGCGCCATGGGGCGGGGGGTGCTGCCTTTGGGGCTGGGGAGAGGGTGCCACTGACAAGCCCCCAGAGCATCTGTTCTAGCTGTGCTCCTTCTTCTCCCCCGGTCCATGCGGTGTCTGTCCTGCTTCCCGGGGGGCCCCAGAGGAATACACCCGGTCCTCATCTGGCATCTCTCCCCAGCTTGCTTAAAGGTGGTGATTTTTAGCACTTTTCCCACTGCATGTCCTGTCTGTTTGTCTGTCTGTCCAGATAGTTGAAAATCACTGCCGAGAACCCACCCACGAGGAAGCACCCATGCCAAGCCGACCTCACTGGGACATGGCCCTCTGGGGAGAACTGCCCCCCCTCCCCGGCACTTACCCCCAGTCGGAGTGTCCTGAGTGTTGTCTTCCTCCCCCACCAGCCCCTGGCTGCGCTGGAAGCCAGCCAGGTCTGGGCCTGGGCCCCCCCTCCCGCCCCCCGCCTCCGCGTGGTGCATTATTGATGGGGTTTCTAATTGTGCGTTTCCCAAAGTCTACAGGCCTTTGATGAAAAATTCATGGCGCGCCCGCGGATGGAGCAGGCTCAATCAATGGGCGGGCGGGCGGGAGGGTGAGCCGGGGAGCACTCAGGCCTCCCAGGCAGGGACAGGCAGGCGCAGTTGAGGGGCTGCACTCCGGCCTCCCCTTCATCCGACTGCTCACTGGACAGGAGAGCGCCTGCCCAAGCAGTGGCAGGCTGAGGGGCTGCTCAGGAAGGCCAGGCCACCCCCCACACACACCCCCAAATCCTGTATCCAGACACACTCATTTCCCCTCACCCCACACCCTGACACCCTCGTCCCCAAGGGACCCTCTGTGTGGCTCTGCTGTCCAGGGAAGCCACCTCATCTCAGGATGGAGTCTGGTTCCCTGGGGATCTTCAGCCTCGGGGCTCCTGGGTCGCAGGGACGCAGGTGCTCTCCCAGCCAGCTGCCAGGACTACTTAGAAGTCAGGCAGCGCCCGCCACCCTGGAGAGCAGGGAGCAAGATGCCACCCACCCTGCCCCCAGTCACGAACAGGAGTGGCACAGGTGCCTGGCACCCAGCTCTGAGCCGACTCGAGACTTCGTGTCTTCCCAGCATGCCCAGCTCAGACCCACACCACACAGGATGGTGTCCTGCTGTCCAGTTCCCCAACAGAGGAGCCCAGGCTGGGTTGGCTTATCATCACCCCCACGTTTTTTTTTCTTTCTGGGTCACACCCAGCGATGCACAGAGGTTACTCCTGGCTCATGCACTCAGGAATTACTCCTGGTGGTGCTCGGGGGACCATATGGGATGCCGGGAATCAAACTTGGGTCGACCACGTGCAAGGCAAACACCCCACCCACTGTGCTATCGCTCCAGCCCCCACCCCAACTTTCAAAACAAAAATCACTCCAGAGAGATAACCCGGGGGAGGCCTTGCACAAAGCTGACCCCGACCTGGTCCCCAGCACCAGTTATGGTCCCCGAGCTCTGCCAGGAGTGATCCCTGAGCACAGAGCCAAGGAGTAAGCCCTGAGCACCAAGGATGGGGCTCCCTAGAAATGAAAAACAAAGCTTACTCAGCAACCCTGGGAATCTACTTATGTAAACAAAGAGAAAACACCCCTAAATGCACCTCAGCTCCTACTTCCCACCTGGATTGTTCCAGTGACGCCCCTGGGGATGGACTCACCCACTCTGGGAAACGAGACCCTGCTAGAAAGGGGGGCCCTATGTCAGGGTCTCTGAACGGAGTGAGGGGCAGGTGAGCTGGTGGGGGTGGGGAGAGCACCCCTGTAGCGTGCCTGGGGGTACAGCCTGGCCTGCCCCGGGGAGTACAGGGCCCCCCATGGCCCGGAGCTTTTGTCATGGTTGTTTCTGCTCTGGGGTGGGGGTCACACCCGGCGGTGCTCACGGACTATTCCTGGCTGTGTGCTCAGGGGTCATTCCTGGTGGTCCTCAGGGCACTGTGTGCGGCTGACCCCCCTACTCCAGGCAGGCGCCTTACCCCCAGCCAGAGCCTTTGAAGCAGGCAGGCCCCTTCTCCCTGGTGTGTCCACCAGAGGCCAGTTGGGGGCCAGTGTGGCAGCCAGAGTTTCCTGCTGGACCTCCATCCGCTCATTAAACAGAACAAACGCAGGTGACTCTGTGACTCTACGAGGTGTCTTAGGCCCCGATTCAGGGTGTGAAAGGCTGAGAAAAAAGATTGGAACCGACCAGTGAAACCCCAGCTCTCGGGGAAAGGGCCCGGTCAGCCCCGCCGTGGCCTCGGCAGCTGTGTCTGGCTGGACTCTGCTCGGTGCCCATGTCCACTGCTGGACAGCCCCGCGGCGGCCTCCTAGCTGTGGCTGGATGCCCAGGTCAGCCCTCCCTGGCCGGTCAGCCCTCCCTGGCCTCGGCGGCTATGGCTGGACTCTGTGCCCGGCCCCGTTTCCAGGGGGTGGGCTGCCTTGTTTGGGTTTGTTTTTGCTTTGCTTCCCAGCGAGTTCCTTTTGAAAACATCCACCCATGTGTCTGCTGAACTAAAAGGAAAGGAATTCGTCCAGACCTTCAGGGAAACGGGGACAGCGGGGAGGGGACGGGGGGGCGGGGGTACGGGGCAGCCTCTGTTGCCCCATCACGGAGAGGGAAGCCTGGGTGAGAATCAAGTGGCAGAGGACGCTGGAGGGAGAGGGAGGGAGGGCCACGGTGAGGGGACGGGTGAGGGGACGCCACCGCCGCCGGGCCCCTG